AAAGGTGCCAAATCAATGAATGTCTGAAATACACCCAGCTGTGCAAGGGAGTTAATTAGTATCTCTACCTTTCACTCACCAGGATTGGCATCCTGTGTAACTCTGATGGAATACAGTGTAGCAGTAAAAGCAGAGCTATATGAGAACACACTAATTCTCTGTCCTGCCCGCTGCTCTGGGGAGTACCTGCAAAACAAGCAACAGTTGTTTAAAGTGAGAATTAAGCCAAAGTGGTGTCAGGAGTAATGTGGTTTGTGTTACCGTCTCCATCAGAGGTAAGCAGGTTTTAGAAAGCAGTCTTAATGAAGAGTACATGATCAGAGGGCTGAAGCACCTCTCTTATGAAGGCACACTGAGAGAGCTGGGGCTGTTCAGCCTGGAGAAGAGAGGGCTCCAGGGAGACCTTATTGCGGCCTTCCAGTTCCTGAAGGGGAACTACAGGAAAGCTGGGGAGGGACTTTTTACAAGGGCATGGAGTGATAGGATGAGTGCAAGGGGGTAGATTTAGATCAGATATTAGGAAGATATTCTTTACTGTGAGGGTGGTGAGACACTGGAACAGGTTGCCCAGAGAAGTTGCGAATAACCCTTCCCTGGAAGCGTTCAAGGCCAGGTTGGACAGGGCTTTGAGCAACCTGGTCTAGTGGGAGGTGTCCCTGCCCATGGCAGGGGAGTTGGAACTAGATGATTTTTAAGGTCCCTTCCAACCCAACCATTCTATGATTCTGTGTTTATAGTGGAACAGAGAAGGCATTCAGATTCTCTTTTCTTCTGAGGTGTTTGGGGGTGGAGGGTGTGTGTGTGTGTGGGATACACCACCTTACAAATAAGATCCTACCTTGGAAGGCATTAAGCTGCTGTTTCAGATCAGTTTCTGACACAGAAATTTTTAATCCACTTGTCACTTGACCTGATTGTGTATGCAGAATAATTTTCTAACTTTAGTCTTACTACTTAAGTTAATCTAGTAGGAAAAGATTTATTATATGGTGTTTTTACAAAAGGCTTTCTGAAACAAAAACCTTTTATCTGCTTGCATATAAAAACCTATGACTTCTTCCAATTTTATGCTTACTGGGATAGGAGAGAGGCAAGACAACCATAGACTGAAGGGGTATACATATTTCCATTCTGATTGGATACAAGTAATGAAGCTTTGGTTTTCTGATTGAAGAGCTCTGCACTGGCTTTCATAAAAGCTTTTTCCACATCTCTGTCAAAATATATATCTTCAAGTTTTGCATCCCTATTAAAAAAAGGTTCAGAAACAGTTACTAATATAGCAGCAAGGAAAAGCACCTTGGATGTTTAACAAATCAAACTATCTGAATAAGGAAGACAGCAGCTATTCTCACCTGAAAGCTTCCAAACCACTGAAAACACCATTTGCTGTTTCTAGGTTCTGGTCACCAAGAAAGTCATTCAGCAATAGTCTAGCCACAGATTTCTGTACCAGTTTACAGTAGGGAGAATGAAAGATCATGAATCCAAAGTCATTCAAGGTGAAATGTATGTCTGTCCCCTCTGGAAGTGGCAGAAGTGTTGTGTTACAACTTATGTTTAGTACTCACTTCAAGTATTAAAATAAAATGGAGGGATGGCAGGATATCAGTCATCGTAAAACATCAGCATACAAAATACAACCATAAAACTAACTATTGCTGGCAAGTTCATTTAACACACTGCTGCTACTTCTATTTAAAAATTAGTTTCTTAGTGATCTAGTGCACCAGGTAGCAATGTTTGCCCTTTTTCTTCTAGAAAAAGTTATAAGCTTAACAGAATCTCAGTATTTCTACCCAGCATTTTGAAATAAGAAATAATCTACTTCATCTAACTATCTAATCTTCAAGCCTATGCTGCTTAATATAGATGAAGCAATTACTAAATATATGGCAGTAAAAAAAAATTAATCAGTATCTTTATACAACATGTAAATATTAGCCTCAATACTTAAGAGCCTTGGTAGAGGAGGGAATGACACACTTAAGCAAGATGTTATACATTACACCAACAAAAGCTTGTAGAGACTACTTATTGACTATCAGATACTTAGCCATACCAGAACAGAAATAAGACATTTCTTTATGAGAGAGCACAAACGTATCAGTTGCTTCGGAACACATAAACACAAAGAAAGGAACCATGTACTAGTCTTTAGATTGGATGCTAGAACTTAAAAATACATTTTCTGTGTACCTACACATTCCAATATTTGACAGATCTTGCAGTCTCATGTGAGGATACGTACTCTTTTGCCACTGGGCGTGGATTTTCTTGCGATAGACAGCATAGCAGCGATCTAATGCACTGAGGTAGCAC